GCTTTTATTTCTTAGCTGAATGCAGCATGTATACAGAAGTTCCTGTGAAACCACTGGTGGTTTGTGTTGGAACAAAGCAGAGGCAATGGATTGTGTAACTTGTATCCTAAGAATTCAAACCAATTTGATATTTTCTTCTACTTGTAACTTTACTTGGCGTGAAATTTAGATTCTAGTGATATTCTGTTGTCTCCAATGCTTGAATCATCAAATTATTTCAACAGGTGTAATTTGTTTATTAGATACTGTGGCTAATCATAATTGACTCTTTATTTTATGATATTCAGCTCGATAATCTACCACGAGTGGATGAAGTTATTTAAGCATCATGAACATCAATTTGCATAGTGATGCATTCAGTATTCTGGGGGTACTTAGATCAAAGATGTATTCAGGCCTTTTTTGTGTTTTTCAGCTTGCTGCAAAACAGTTCTGTACAATCATCTGGTGATCAGCAATGCAATAACATTTGGATTTTATTTTTTTTACAGGAACCACACTGTCAAATACTGTCATACCAACCTGTCAAAACTGCAGTTCCTTGTGAAATGGTAAGCCAAATGCAGAAGCTCCAGCACTGAAAGGGGGAAATCCCAAATCCCTTACACCTCACCTCTACCTCTCCCTCTTATTTTGTGGCTGTGTATTCCCATTGCTTGCCTGGTTTTGGCCTCAGCAGTCTGGTACATCCCTGAGCTTTAGCTTGCTCAGACCACAGGTTGTTTGGACAAGTATTTTTCTACCACTTTAGTAAGGTTTTGTGGGTCAGTGAAGGTTCCAATGAGCAAGAGGGAGGGAGAAGTACATGCTCCTGAGAGATAGATGCAGCCTGTTTGTCAGAGAAATTTGGGTGCTTGTCAGTGCAGCACAAGCACCAAACACCCCATCTTAAAATTTTCAAATACGATAATTTTAGTCATCTTTTAGAGCTGTTAATGGGATATCTCCTGCCTCACTGCACTCATTTTTGTCTAGGTACACATACATAATGGTTGTATAGATTTGACAACCTTTTTGTATCATTCAGTCACTGAAATTCAATTTATATGGCAAGTCAGTTACCTCAGACGAACTGACTTTCCTGATTAAGACAAAGCATTAATAGTTTCTTATTTTTCAACTTGCCTATCCAATTAAAAAATTAAAAAAAATTCTTGTTAAGCACACCTGAAGAATCTTCACAAGAACAAGTAATATAGCAGCCAAATTTACAGTCATTTTCAAAATTCTGCGTCTTGTATTAATATGCTTATTAAAATGCTTCTGCTTAGTCAGCCATAAGAAAATTACTCAATTTTTTATAAAAATGAACCAACTGTTGATCAGCAATCATCTACTTGGCCGATGAAATTTGAGGGTAATAAAAAGCTTTGGTAATGCAAATGTTTGGTGTTGATCCTGCTTAAGATTTGCCTAAAAGTGTGGGGGTATAAGCATAAGCAATGAACGGGGGTTGTGTTCCTGGGATTTGGAACTCAAATAGAAGGCTGACAAAGAATGTAGTGGCAAACAAGGATAGGAATATATATAGATGTATATGTTCTGACCTATTTATCACAGATGTAAACTCAGTGGGGAATTAACTGATGGAGAAGGTAAAGGACACAGTTTTTCTAGCAGAGGTGTATGAAAACCAAGTCTTTAGAAATTTGAATCAGAAACAAGACCGTAATTGTGAGGACTGAAATGGGATTTTGCAATTTAATGCAAGCATGGATTACAAATTTTGACTTGGCTGTTGGAAAATGTTAAAATGCCGCCCTCTGATTTGTTGAGATTGTCACCTGCAGATACGGTTACTGCTTCCAGTTTATTGGACTGGTACACGTACATAAGCGTTAAGGAAGAAAGAACGACTGTGAAGAAGAGTTCCGATGGATTTGCATACGCGTGTTAGTGATCGCCCCGGACACGGCGTGGGCCCAGAGGGCAGTCCCGGGCCTGCTGCCTCTCCTGGGCGGGGCTGCCTCCGTCAGATCCCGTGTGCAGGGAGGACTCCACTCCCTGCTCAAGAGCGGATCGGGGACCCCCGGTGTCTCCTCCCAGGCCCAGTCTCGGCCTCAGGGCGGGCCCGGGCGCGCAGGGCCGGGGCNTTTTTTTTGTTTTGTTTTGTTTTTAGTGCATTGGAAAGTCTTCTCAGTGGACACCTGAATATCTTTATGAGCTCATAAATTGTCTATATGCGGTTGGTCTAAGCGTGATAAAAAGCTATAGTCTTTCCTGCCTCAATTTAAAAGTGCCTGCAGACTAAAGCACTGCTTTGTGTAGTGTGTATAGCTTATATAGCTGCTCCAGAGTCAGTTTTGTTTGTGTGTATTGCACAGCTCCTGCTCCAGTGACTTAATCTTACTCAGTTTCAATTATATGCAACCATAATATGCATTCTTTTCACTTGGGATCTTGCTGGCTTGACAGGAGAATAAGTAATTCCTTAAAAACAGGAGGGGGAAGAGCAGGGAGAGGCTGTCTTACTCTGGAATACAGCTTGCTGATGGAAACTTCACAGACTTATGCATTAACTGGTGGTGAATGTAACTATTAAGGCTGCACTGAGCTAAAAGTGCCATTTGGATTAAAGGAAGGGCAGCAGAGCTTCATGGGGGTGCAGGTTTCCAGCATGGTTCTCTAATTTCCATGGAGAGCAGTGTAGGAATATGGACCACACTGAACTTTACTTAAAAGCATTTCTTGAAAAAGGTGCTAAAAGTCTAAGGAAAGTGTTCAAGTGTAGTCAGAAGCTTCCGAGTGGAGATCATTCAGTTTATGGTCCTTTCTCCTTCAGTTATTCTTTTACCTCTCCATATACATCTACCCAATAAGCAATTTTTTTCATGCACCTGGAAGTTCTGTTGCAGTTTGTTCAAGCTACAACATGTCTTTGCAGCTTCACAGGCTGCTTGGAACAGCTCCCAACTCCTGGGCCTGTTGCTGCAATATTCTCTGGCAGCACTAAGATGTAGCTGAAGACAACCTCTTTTAGGGCCTGAGTTGGCAGTCTTATTAAACTGTGGGCAAAAATACGTGCTTTGCTGATGCAGACACTGCTTCTGAGTAACACTGGTGCTGTGTTGTACTAAGTGTTCATATAGCAGCTTCTATGTATAGCTGCCAACATCTGAGAAGTATAATAATAAAAACCACTAAAAACTATATAGCCTTCCGTGTACGCATGCACTCTGAATCTTGTTGTTGTTGTTGTCCTCTTAAAATTACACAAAAATTAGCTGGAGGCAGATAATGTGGGAAATGCCATATTTTCAAAAGAGAAGGAGTGAAAACATGGCCTTGCTAGTGGTGTTAGTATGTTAGAAATGTTAGTATGAACTAATGTTCATACTTTTCATCGTGGATCCATTGTTAACGTTTTATGGTGTAACCTTAGTGAATATATGGCAAATGATAATCACTGCTTTCTATTAATAGGCTTCAGGTCTAATGCCAAATGTGTGTAGTTTGATTTAAGATACTTATTTAGAAATAAATGTGCACTTGAGAACGGAGTATTTCAAGAAGGTTATTATTGTAATTATTTTGAAGACGTTCATAACTGCTAGAATTTCAGAAAATGGTCCTGTGAAATTCAGGGTCTGTGTGGTTTAAAATGCATGGTTGGTGTGCCAGGGAGAGTGTGGCTGGTGGCTGCAATGCACACCAAGAAAGTCTGGGTTCTGGTGCAGTCTGAGAGCTTTCAATCATTAATGGAGAAGTGTTTCTCCTAATAGGTCTTAATACTAAGCTTGTGTTTTCTGCTTTTAAAGCTTTATCTTCTGTTATTTCTTACTCATTTGCAGTAAGTTTTTTTATCTATTACTGTGAACAATTTTTGAGAAGTTGACAGTATGAATTTCATGAGTGCTGATAGAAGACGTAATAAATACCATTTTTCTTAATTTATTAATTTTCCTAGTACTTCTTCTAAGGTTGGTTTAATTTGTTAGTCGTGTTTCACTAGATGCCATAATGCAAATCATGCAAAGCAAAAGAATGTATTGAGGAAGTATCCCTGCCCAAAATGTCAAGTCTGTACAAAGTTATGGGGTTTTTTCCTGAATGTGAATGTATAATACTTTTATCCTTTAATAAACTTTCAGAGACTTATTTTCTTATAAGATGTGCTATTAGGCATTCTTAAGCAGCATCTCTTATTATATGAGTTTAAAAGCTGTCTCTGTTTAATTTTTGGTGTTTATTAATGCTGTAGCATAAAAGCCCTAGAGTGCAGCAGAATGTGTTGGATTCTGCTGTGTTTGTGGGTTTTTGTTTGGTGCTACTTCGGTCCTTGCATTGTCTGTGTGTCAGGGTGTCCCTGTCAGTTCTGTTATTGTGCACTTCATACTGTAAAAGTGGGTTTGTCTGGGAAAATAAACCTGTTCTGGGTAGGTTACAGTGTAAATGAGTTACCCTGACTTGAACAGCAAGCAGTCCTGTTAGCACAAACACAATGTGGGTAAAACAACTGTGAAGAGTAGAACAAACTCCATAGCACTGATGTTGTCCCCAAATGCTTTCTACCACAGGAATGTATTCTAAAGATGACTGGGACAGAAAATGATGTGCAGTTGAGTATTGGAGTACTGCTGTGTCCTGTGAATATGTTGATCTTTTATATTGATAAAATCCAGATATCTTATATTTAAAAAATTGATTTCTGGAACATTAACATAATATGCTTGTTGGGTGCTTCTCCTGTAGCTTAGATTCAGCAAACAGAACTCCTCACTGTAGTGCAGTATGTAGGTAGGTAGGTTTTCCCAGAGCCTGTACATCTATATGAAATAGTAAAGTGAAGTCTAGTTTCACTGCTTTGTTCTCAAGAAAAAAATTCTGTGACAAGAAACCTTTTAAAGAAATGTCTTGGCATGTTTTCAGATTTTGCTGACTTGGACCCTAATGTACCCTGCTACTTATGAAACAGTACATATATAGAATATTATAAAAGATATTTCTGACCTGGGGCTAGGATTGCTGCATTATTCATGAGTAAAGAAGTTATGAGTAACTTACGTAAAATATCCTATTAAATGTCTAATAGAACCTTGTATAATGCCATCAAGTATTGTATGCTAGCTGTATTTCTTAAGCACATTTCCTGTGAAAGTGTTTTAAGGTGGAAAACTTTTTGGATTGAATGGGTGGATTCTTAATGCTGAGGTTGCTTGGTACCATGAATCCACTTGTATTAGACTTGAGCAAAGAAAATAACATTCTTGCTTTTGCTTTGATTTTGCTAAAGGCCACTTGATACATGGAGCTTCTTGTGACCAAGGATAGGATGTTAATGTTAAATCTCTGTTTTTCCTTGGCTTCCATATTTGAGAAGTGGCACTTTGATGTTCAAGGTATTCTTTTTGTTTAGTTCCTTAAAGGTAATGTTTGCATCTGTTCCACAGTTTAGAATAACTAACAAGCTAGAATTTAGTAAAATGTGGAATGCAAGGGGGATGGTCAGAGGTGCAATATAAATGCCATTTCTCCATTAAGGAGATTACTAAGCAAATAGAAAAATTATGTAATTGTTGTCACGTTATGCCATAAAAGTATTTTTTCGAGAAAGTAACATTGTTCTACTTTTCAAATACATTATAAGTAATAATATGTTTCTTGCTTTTAATTCAGGACAGCTGAACACTCTGAAATTGCAAGGAGGAGAGAAGTGTCACCTTTGAAAGATAACCTTTCACCATGGGAAGAATGGTTCGTTAGCAAAGAGAAGGAGCTGCGTGCCCGCTTACGAGCTAGAGCTGCAGAGGTGATTACATCCAGTTATTTTGCTTCTAAGTCTAATAGAAGATAGCAAACACAGGATTTTCTTCTCCTTGGTTGTAGAAACATGGGGAGTTGTTTTTTTCCTTTTTATTTTAGTGTCTTAAGCCTCCATAGTGTTTGTGTTTGTCAGTGCTGGCATGATTTATGTTATGTGCATTTTCTTTTGCTGTGTGCTATGCTTCACTGAACTGGTGCTGTATAATATTTTGTTTATCCAACTGTCAGGTAATGCTTCGATGTTAGAAGATTAAAACATTTATTTAATTACTGCCTTGATTGTCATCATGGGTATGTACTCCTGCATGTTGGTTGTAGAAGAAAATAGGGTGTGTGCTGATTTGTAAGTATGCCAAGCTACTTGATTAGTTTTGAGGCACAGTGTTGTTAACCACTTAGCATGTAATTTTACAACTGTTTGGTGTCCTTTCCCAGGACAGGGATCCCTGTACAGCATTTTTTTTCCCCTCATTCTATCTTTTGCCCCCTTGCAGACGAACAGTTCTTGAGAACAAGGGCTAGGACACAATTAAGTGAGAGCACTCTATCTTTTCTTGATTACTCTGTAGTTGCAGCTGGTTAAATTATACTGTTGTTGAAAATCAAATGGGAAGTATTGGGTAGAGATTAGAACAATCACATCAAACACAGATAATTTCTCACTTTAGTTACTGATTAACTGTTTGACCTTGAATGTTTTCCTAGCCTTTCTGTGATTATCTGTAAAGTGAATATAGCATACAGCTGTTTTATGTGGGCTACCTCATGTTGTTTATAAAACACCTACTACTGGAAGGTTCAGGAACAGAATTTTACAGGTCAGCAGTACCCCAAAGTAGTTTGTTAAACTTGAGGAATGTGCTTTGATCTGTTAATCCACATCCACCAAATGTTTCATGACTTCTCATTTATATTCTGGATTGGAAATGTAAGTGTAAGCTAGCAGATGTCTCTCAACTTAGTATTAAGAACAGTCATAGAACAAGCATTACTTAAAGCCATGTAGAAAATAGTCATATAGGTAAATATTTTTAGTTTGTAAGTTTTTGAGAACATTAGATTTTAAACTGCAGCAAGACAGTGTGAAAAGCTTATATTTGGGGGAAAAATAAAATCAACATTTTTGTAAGATGCCAAAAGAGAATGAAATAGGTGATATTTCTATTAAAAATTATTGCTACATTTGCATATTAAAAGTATTCTAAACTTATACTCTGAGAAACAACTGGGAAGTCCCAGTTCTTTTGATGACATTAGTACCAAGCCTGCCCTGAATGTCAAAAATGTGGATAAACATTTGGAGTGGAATTAGGTTGGGTGTTCTTGGGTGCTTACAGTGCCATCAGCTTTTACAGAAACTGGAATCCCTGCAATACAGGTGCCTTGGAACTCAGAGGAGATGTTATTTGCTGTAACTTTGCCTCACTACAACAACAACAACTGTGTTTTCAAACTATTGTGGGTGTTTGAGCTTTCTGTAAGCTTCTGTTGATGTCCTACCAAACTGAATTCAGTGTAAGAAAAGGGGGTTCTCTTTGAAACTGACTGCAGTGTAGGGACCATAAAATTAGTTTCATGGAAATAATTCCATCTGTCTATGTTTAAAGGTATGAATTTTCATTGAAAATTAGCACTTTGTGTTAATGCTACTGTTGGAGAAGCTAGACATCTCAAATTGTCTCCTTAGTTATGTTTTTTCTTTATTAACTTCACTGGAGAGATACAAATGATTGCATATATACTGTATATCATTTAAGTATACTTTGAAATTTCTTCTCATCTTCAAAATAAAACTCCTGTTTCAAAATTTGCTAGAATCTGCAATAATTTTGGCTTTAGTAAGTCTTGCCTTAAGCCCTAAAGTTCTAGTAGTTCTGGTATTAAAAATCACAGGTGAATAATATTTCACTTAGCTTTTGATACCTTCCAGAGTGCAGAGCAGTACACAGTGTAAATTTTAAATATTGTAGGAAAGTACTACTGCAAATTAAGAGTCTTCTGACTAAAAATGCATTTTTATAAACCAATGAATTATTTTATACATTTAATTGCTTCCAAAGCCTAATTAAAATATATATTTCCAGGTAATATTCTAAAAATTATACATTTTTCATTGATTGTATTACATAGTATTTCTGTGTTGACTGCCATTCTTCTCCAAAATCTTAATGAGGGAAAAATACCAAAATCTAATGCCTACATTGTTTTAACTGCAGCACTATTGCCAGTATTGCTGCAAATGATCACCACAGATTTGAAATGTATACTTTTTCTGTAATTAGGAAATGAATAAACAGCTTGAGAAAATGAAGCAAAATGAAGAATATGAAAGAAGAAAAAGGATGGCTGAAGAGAAACACAAGGAATGGGTCCAAAAGAAAAGGGAAGAGGTAAATATTGCTTTGGCTGGAAATATTCCAGTACATGCCATGCTTGAGTAAGCCTATGTAAAATTTACTCAGTCTGTTTGGACATCCATGTTTTCTGTTTGCTGAGTAAATGGCTGCTTGAATTGAAAATTACAAAAACATGCTAAAGCAGTTAAACATTTTTTCAAGGCTAATTTTTTTTTTTTCTGTCAGGTACAAAGGCATTTGTTTTCTGAATAGTCAGATAACTGACAATTGGTGTACATATTGTATAGTAGCCTTCTGCTGGTTATAGCTGGGGTTTTGGTCCTTCTGGTACCCAGACTTCCCAGGTTCAGTGCCCAAACATTTTTGGTTAAGTGTGTGTGCAATGTTTTGTACACCAAGTGAGCCAGAAGAAGGATTTAGTTAAATATCACCACAAACAGGCAAAGAGTATTTGCTATAGGATATGGTTTAAGAGGGATAATTGAGGTATGGGGCCAGATTGAGGGAATTCTCAGTAGACCACAGTTAGTAATTGGGAATTCTTTCAGTCAGTAATTAATTTCTGGGTGGGATCAAAAATTTTTAAAGTTCTTTTGAGGGGGTGCCCGAGTCCAGGGTCAGAAACAGACAGAATCATGATCTCAGTGGAGCTCTGTAATAGCTGTGTCACACCAAGTGACCACATGCACTGGATGGCAGGAATGGGAGCACTGGGGAGACCCAGGGCATGTTCAGCCCCTGGCACTTCATGGGCTCATGTGTTCATCATCTTATGATCTGTAGAAATACCAGTTGTTTATTGTTCTGTACTTCTGTTTCTGAATAAAATCAGATGAATATTCACTGAAAATATCACAACTGCACTAGCTGGGTTGGATGGGCAGACCTCATACATTTGTTTTCATGATTATTAGAACTCTTTCAGCCCAGAACCACTAGAATAACATATATTTGGATCTAATCTAATCTAATCAATCTTAGTCTTAATGCTAGTTGGATAATTGACAGAAATCCACTGCAGAACCTATCCTGCTCTGTTAATTTCTTATGATTCATATTACTAATTAAAGTACACAGGAAAAAGTAGATATATTATTCAGCACATACAATTCCATTTCCCTCTTGCAGAACGAAATTTAAATGAGAATTAAATTCTGAGTGTCTGTAACTGACTGAGTCAGTCTGCCTCTTAAAACAGTTCCAATTCAAAACCAGAAGTTTTCCTTCTGTCTCCTCCTCACTTCTCCTACCATCTACTTCAATTTCCATAAATTATTACTTATTTGGGTTTTGCTTGGAACTTTGTGGATGTACTGGTTAATAACTTATATTCTGTTGTCAGTGGGATTAGGTGGTCTTCATTATGGTAATCACACCAGCCCAGAGGACAAGAGGAAAAAACATACTTGTGTTTGGACTTCATCATATTATGTTTTGGAGGCATAGGGTCATTCTTAGAGCATGTCCCAAGCGTTTAGAAAAGTGAGCTGATTTTCATTTAAATCAGATGATTCATTGGTTTGTCTTTCCTATAAACTACACTCAAATCAAGGATAAAGTGAACTTAAAATCTTAGCTGTCTATAGAATGTTAACATTAGTGCTGCACAGACTGTCCCACTTAAAGTTTCCACAAGATTATTTGTGGATGTGGACACAGACTGAAGGATAAATATGTCAGTTCAGTGACTAAGATGTTTAAAATTGCATCAAGATTTCACCTGTAGTTAGGGTAAGTCTCATGAGCACTGAGAGTTGAGATAATTTTTTTGGCAAGAGTGTATATATCTCCTGTTTGAGAAACACTTCATTTACTCTGGAAGTATCAAAAGAGGTTTCTTGAGGCAAAACTTGCAGTACTTTTTACTGAAATTTGCATTAAGCACTCACCTTTTTCAAACTCAGTTAATTATTGAATCTGAGCCCTGTGTGTAGAGTGCAGATAATAAGCAATAAATGCTTTATTTGGCAGGAGGCAGTACTTCCAGGGATCTTTGTAATCTCCACAAGTCCATATCCTTTTCCATTGCTCAATCCTGTAGTGATAAAGAAAGTAAGGCACACTTGAGTATACATAAAACTTCTTCATCTTGAGCATCCAGTACCAGGAGATATGCTGGAAGAGTCTTTATACTATATGAATGTTAGAGACATTTATGTTGGAAGTAAAATGTTTGTATAATCATTTTACATTTTACAGAAACTATTTTTGAAAGTAAAGGAATCCTAGCTATTTAGTATTCTTCTATGTAAATAGCTTTTGTGGTTCTTAAAGGTTGTAAATGAACTAGAAATAATATTTTGAAATATGAGCAATCAAAGAACATTTTAAGCCATGAAATATGTTTATGCAAATATTTGTTCATGGCAAAATTTTTCAGCTCCCTAGAAATTAAAAGCTCAATAAAATCAATTTTTAGGCACTATCTTGGACCTAATAATGCCTTTACAATTTTCAGTAAGATAACTGGATCTCTCCTGGACAAAAATAGTCTCCCTCTTAAAGCTGAGCCATTTTTGGACAAACAGTAAATTGTCTGTTGGCTTTTTAGCAAATATCAATTGAAATATTTTAACTCTAAGAATGCTTTTGATTCCAGAAGAAAAATGAACATAACATGATTTTTTATGTAACTAAAACTCTTATTTCTGAGTTACTGTGTAAAAATGAAGTGGTTGTGATTATAAATGCTGATGAAGTAAATTTGGCGTTCAGTTCCTGTTTTATGTGAACTTCTGATCCTGTAATGTGAAGTCTCTTTCATTCCTATCATCAGCTGTGGGATTGAACACTTCAGTAAGTGTTTACACAGTGTGTAATTGTGGAATTACTGATTCAATCAAAGTACTGGTTTCAAATCAAAGTACGAAAAGCTTTTGAGAAATGCATTGTGAATGCATAAACTGTGAAGAGCCTGTAAACTGCCATTACTGTTTAATTCTTTAACACTGTCATCATAATCAGAACCTCTTAGGAATTATTGCTGAATAAAATACTAGGATTAAAGGTCAGGCCTGATGACAATAGCTTTTTGATTGCATATTAAAAAAATCAACTCTGATGCAGTACACTCTACCTTTTCAATATAATATGGTATCTTCAAATCATATTTAATCTATCTGTACTGACTCTGCAAAGCTACTTCATTTTTACAATGTCAATAGGACTTAGAAATCAATTCCTATTTATACCTGTGTGTTCATATAAATATTTAAATTATGTATTGTTGTGGGTTAGCCCCAGGGGGCATCTGAGACCTCACATAGCCCCTCAGTTGCTCCCACCAGCTTTTATTGCTGAGCAGGATGGTCTTGGGTTGGTTGGGGTCAGTTGTTCTGGCTGAGCCCGTCCCAAGTCCCTATGCACCCCCAGACTATGGGCTGAGAAGCAGAAAAAATCTTGAAGCTTTGTTAGCACTGCTGTCCTGGGGTGACTTTATGATGCTTGTATCCCCAATCATCTGTTCTGTTTGTGCTGGATATTAAGTTCTGCACCTTTAGGACTGGCTCTGAGAGTGAAGGGGGGAAAGAAGAAGCACAGTTTGTGTTCAAGAACAGCACTCACTGCCCCACATCCTGCTCTGGACTGTGCTGTCTGCAGCATGGACAGACAGCATGACAGAGCTCTCCTTTGCTGCTAGTTAGTTTTTAGCTAGCTGAGGCAGAGAAGTTCTCCAGATTGTTTTTTTTCCCATTTTTTTGGTTCTGTTCAAACCTGCTCTGGACTGAAAACCCAGACAAACCCTGGGAGCTCACACCTGTGGCCCACTGAGGCCTGGCCCTTGGCATTTTCCAGCACAGAAGGAACTGATAAGAGACTGAGTGAGCCAAGCTCCACCCCACAACAAGGACTTTTTGGATTTTCTATCTCTTCAAACAGCAAGAGGTTTTATTGCTTAATATTACTCTTTTGTTTTTAATGCTAGTGGGTACTTTGCTTGTTAATAAACAGTTGTTTCCACTTTTCTCCAAGGAAATCTTTTCCCAAGCCAGTTGGGTGAGGAGCCGCTTGAATTTGCTTTCTGGAGGGACCCCATTCAGAGGTTCTCTCCCAAATTTGCCCTAAACCAGGACACCTGCTTAGTGAGAACTTGTTATCAACAAACACTGTTTTGTTCACAAATCCAAACATAGCACAACAGGAGCTGCTATGAAGAAAATTAACTACATCCAAACCCACTACATATGTTATGCATATGTTTGCAAAAGTAACAGAAATCCCCAAAGAGGAATATTTGCATTCCAAAATAACTGTAATTCTGAAACTCATTTTGTTAACATCCTTGTTTTTAGTCTTTGCATGTAAGTCTTTATACTGTAATAATGTGATACCTAGCAAAGTTGTAAGAGCACAAGTAATGAAGTTACAGTTTTCCATTGGAGAAAAACAATTATTCTAATACCAATCTAAAATTGACTATAACATTTCTTATACTTTCTGAATTGTTGAATAGAGAATAAGGCAAAATTTCTGTAACACCAAGCAGGCATTAAAAATAGAATTTGAATGTTCAACAGTTCTTTTCTTTTCAATAAGTCCCCTTTACTTACTGAAAAATATAATTTTTAATGGAAACTAGATACAGGATGGAAAAGTTCTGTTTGAATACTTATTCACTGAAAATTTTGTTCTTACCATTTACTGTGCTGTTGGCTGATGGTTTGTGAGAAGCAAAAAGCAGTAAGAAGTACATGAAAGCCTAGAACCAGCACAGTGTATAGTAATGAATGACAGTGTTCTTGGAGCAGACTGCCCTTCTTGCTGTGCTGATTCCCCCCAGAAGAGACTCCTAAATGCCAGCTCTTACACCAAAGGCTTTTTGTTTCATGTGTATTTTATGTCAGCATGGTTAATGCAGAGCACAGATTGTTCAACAGCTTGAGCATGACTTTCCAGTTCAGAAGCTGCGCTCATGCTCTCTTTCATCCAGTGAGTTTTGTGAGGAATGGTACCACCACCACAGAAGGGCTGGAGAATCTTGTCATCCCAGCCTGCAGCTTGGGGACATGTCAGTTGGAATCTCCTCTGGCAGA